CACCTTGCCTGTCTCTTGAGGAATCTGTGTAATGTCCAAGTAGCAACAGTAAGAACAGACCACGGAACAACAGACTGGTTAATGACTGGGAAAGGAGTTCAGCAGGGCTGTATACTCTCACCCAACCTATTCAACTTGTATGCAGAACACATCATGCGACATGTGGGGCTTGATGAATTCAAGGCTAGAGTTAAAATGGCTGAAAGTAATAATAATAATAATAATAATAATAATAATAATAATAATAAGCCAGTAAAGGTGGTCCCAGTGGTGATCGACACACTGGGTACAGTGCCTAAGACCTTGGCCTGCACTTAAACACAATTGGTGCTGACAAAATTACCATCTGCCAGTTGCAGAAGGCCACCTTACTGGGATCCAACCAGACCATACTTCAGGAAATAAAGCCCAACTGCTCATTGGAGGGAAGGATAGTAGAGGCAAAGATGAAGTACTTTGGCCATATAACGAGAAGACAGGAAAGTTTAGAGAAGACAATGATGCTGGGGAAAATGGAAGGAAAAAGGAAGAGGGGACAAGATAGATGGATAGTATCCTTGAACTGACTGGCTTGACCTTGAAGGAGCTGGGGGTAGCTACGGCCAACAGGGAGCTCTGGCGCAGGCTGGTCCATGAAGTCACAAAGAGTCGGAAGCGACTTAACAAATAAACAATAACAGAGACATCACACTGGCAATGAAGATCCACATAGTTAAAGCAGTGGTATTCCCCATAGTAACCTATGGATGCGAGAGCTGGACCATAAGTGAGGCTGAGCGAAGGAAGATAGATGCTTTTGAGCTGTGGTGTTAGTGGGACTCTTGGTGGGACTTGCTTCTGAGTAGACATGCCTAAGAACAAACCTGAAGAATGTGTTCAATGTGCACCAATAATTTCCAACTCTTTGGTCCTCCAGGTTTTTTTTAGAATTCATTTCCCAGAATTCCTCACAGCTGGCCAAGCTGACCTGGATTTCTGGGAGTTGGAAGCCTCAAAATCTGAAGCATTAAAGACTGGGAACCATTGCATCTTCTACACTGTAAAATAAATGCTGTTTGGCACCACTTTAAGTTCTATGGCTCAATGCTATGGAATACTGGGAGATGTAGTTTGCTGAGACACCACTATTCAAGCCTAAAGACCTTGTAAAAGTACAACTATAGGTGGATTACATAGCACTGAGCATGGCACTAAAAGTGGTGTCAGACTGCATGAATTCAGGCATGGGCAAACTTGGGCCTCCTTCCAGGTGTTGTGGACTTCAACTCCCACAATTCCTACCGGCTGTTAGGAATTGTGGGAGTTGGAGTCCAAAACACCTGGAAGGAGGGCCCAAGTTTGCCCACATATGTTTATCACTTCCCTGATCCTCATTTGATATAAACAGTGCAGGGTTTACGAAACTGCTCTGCTAGGTTTTGTGGATTTATTTATTTATTTACAACATTTATATGCCACCTTCTCACCTCAAAGGGGACTTAGAGCAGCTTACAAGATATAAATACATACAATATATTATCTTATTAGCATAGCACAAATTAAGTCATAAAGCCCTAAACGGTTCTGGCCCAACTTACCTATCCAAACGCATCTCCCCTTATGAACCATCTAGGACCTTAAGAGACTCCCTCCTGGGCACACAGAAAACTGGGGGACTTGGAAGATGCTGAACAGACTGCACACTAGCACCATGAGATGCAGAACCAACCTTAAGAAATGGGGTTACAAAGTGGAATCCACCACATGCGAGTGTGGAGAAGAGCAAACCACAGACCACCTACTGCAATGCAACCTGAGCCCTGACACATGCACAATGGACTCCTTGTGGCAACACCAGAGGTACTCCAAGTGGCCAGATACTGGTCAAAGGACATTTAATCAACTACCAAGTTTGCACACTATGTGTTTTGTTTGTTTGTTTGTTTTTAATGCAATACAACTGTTTGGTTCGCTCTCGTTATGATAAATAAATAAATAGAGTATAGAAAGGAGATTCCATCTGAACATGAGGAAGAACTTCCTGTGAGAGACGTTCAGCAGTGGAACTCTCTGCCCTGGAGTGTGGTGGAGGCTCCTTCTTTGGGGGCTTTTAAGCAGAGGCTGGATGGCCATCTCTCAGAGGTGCTTTGAATGCAATATTCCTGCTTCTTGGCAGGGGGTTGGACTGGATGGTCCATGAGGTCTCTTCCAACTCTATGATTCTATAGCACAGGAGACAAGGTGGAGCTGTCTTCCTGGCCCCCTCTCCCTTCCCTTAAATAACATGGAGGTGTATTTTGGGACTCATCCGATTTAGTTCACTCTGCTTCTGTTTACATACACTGTGTGCTTCAGTGATGGATGCAAGGAAATGGGTGTGAATAATTCTCTCTAAAGGAAGTGTTTAGCTGCATATTTAGATGTCCCTTTGGGATCCATAGGTGTGTATACTCCTGCATGTTACTTTTTTGTTGTTGTTGTGTCAGGAGCGACTTGAGAAACTGGTGTGAGAGAATTGGCCATCTGCAAGGACGTTGCCCAGAGGACACCTGGATGATTTGATGTTTTTATCATCCTTCTCTCATGACCCCGCATGAGCTGGAACTGATAGAGGGAGCTCATCCGCCTCTCCCCGGATTCGAACCTGTGACCTGTTGGTTTTCAGTCCTGCCAGCACAGGGGTTTAACCGGGGGCTCTGCATGTTACTTATCAATTTGGAGCAAAATAGCATCTGGGAAGGTCACTCTTTCTCCTCTGTTACATCTGCCCTTTCAAAAAATCTGGAAGAAATCATTTTTTTTTTCTTTTTAATGATATGTGCAACAGGCACCACACCACACAAGATGGAGGCCAAAGGACAAAATAACAAGGCTTGGCCCAAGGCGAGGCTGTGAAGGGATCAGAGACTTTAGCCTGGAGAAGGCTGAGAGGAGACATGATAGCCGTGTATAAATATGTGAGGAAAAGTCATAGGGAGGAGGGAGCATGCTTGTTTTCTGCTGCCCTGGAGACTAGGACGCGGAATAATGGCTTCAAACTACAGGAAAGGAGATTCCATTTGAACATGAGGAAGAACTTCCTGACTGTGAGAGCTGTTCAGCAGTGGAACTCTCTGCCCCGGAGTGTGGTGGAGGCTCCTTCTTTGGAAGCTTTTAAACAGAGGCTGGATGGCCATCTGTCGGGGCTGCTTTGAATGCAATTTTCCTGCTTCTTGGCAGGGGGTTGGACTGGATGGCCCATGAGGTCTCTTCCAACTCTTTTTCGTGCCAGGGCAGCCAATCAATTATATTACATTTCTAACAGAACAAAGCAAACAAACAGAGAAAATACAAAATGTGTGTTTGGTAGTTGATTAAATGTCCTTTGACCAGTATCTGGCCACTTGGAGTGCCTCTGGTGTTGCTGCAAGAAGGTCCTCCATTGCTGCATGTGGCAGGGCTCAGGTTGCATTGCAGCAGGTGGTCAGTGGTTTGCTCTTCTCCACACTCGCATGTCGTGGATTCCACTTTGTAGCCCCATTTCTGAAGGTTGGCTCTGCATCTCGTGGTGCCAGAGCGCAGTCTGTTCAGCGCCTTCCAAGTCGCCCAGTCCTCTGTGTGCCCAGGAGGGAGTCTCTCATTTGGTATCAGCCATTGGTTGAGGTTCTGGGTTTGAGCCTGCCACTTTTGGACTCTCACTTGCTGAGGCGTTCCAGCGAGTGTCACTGTAGATCTTAGAAAACTATGTCTGGATTTAAGTCATTGACGTGCTGGCTGATACCCAAACGGGATGAAGCTGGAGATGTCTCTGCCTTGGTCCTTTCACTATTGGCTGCCACTTCCCGGCGGATGTCAGGTGGTGCAATACCAGCTTTTGTTGTTGTTGTTCATTCATTCAGTCGTCTCCGACTCTTTGTGACCTCATGGACCAGTCCACGCCAGAGCTCCCTGTCGGCCGTCACCACCCCCAGCTCCTTCAAGGTCAGTCCAGTCACTTCAAGGATGCCATCCATCCATCTTGCCCTTGGTCGGCCCCTCTTCCTTTTGCCTTCCACTTTCCCCAGCATAATTGTCTTCTCTAGGCTTTGCTGTCTCCTCATGATGTGGCCAAAGTACTTCAACTTTGTCTCTAGTATCCTTCCCTCCAGTGAGCAGCCGGGCTTTATTTCCTGGAGGATGGACTGGTTGGATCTTCTCGCAGTCCAAGGCACTCTCAGAACTGTCCTCCAACACCACAGCTCGATACCGGCTAGACAGTGTAATTTCTCCAGTGGTGTAGGGCACAGACACCCCGTGATAATGCGGCATGTCTCATTAAGAGCCACATCCACTGTTTTAGTGTGGTGAGATGTGTTCCACACTGGGCATGCATACTCAGCAGCAGAGTAGCACAGCGCAAGGGCAGATGTCTTCACTGTGTCTGGTTGTGATCCCCAGGTTGTGCCAGTCAGCTTTCGTTTGATATTGTTTCTAGCACCCACTTTTTGCTTGATGTTCAGGCAGTGCTTCTTGTAGGTAAGAGCACGGTCCAGAGTGACTCCCAGGTATTTGGGTGCGCAGTGGGATTCCTTCCCAGGTGATCTTCAGAGCTCAGGACGCTTGTCTGTTCTCTTTTAAACAGAGGCTGGATGGCCATCTGTCGGGTGCTTTGAATGCAATATTCCTGCTTCTTGGCAGGGGGTTGGACTGGATGGTCCATGAGGTCTCTTCCAACTCTATGATTCTATAGCACAGGAGACAGGTGGAGCTGTCTTCCTGGCCCCCTCTCTCTTCCCTCTGGGAGTTCATCTCCCAGAATTGGCTGAGGCTTCTGGGAGTTGAAGTCCAGGGGGGGGGGAAATGTCCTGGAGGACTCAAATTGAGGAAACACTGCCGTCCTTTCGCAATCCCTTCCTCATTCCTATCGCCCCTCTGCTTCTTCTTACAACACTGAACCTGCCTCCTTACGCCTGCATTCTTTTCCATGCCTTTGCTGTGATAGGCTGGCTCATTCGTGACGTACACCTCGCCTCGGCCAATAGGAAAACACCACGGCTCCCAGGTGCTTTCGCTCTCTCGGCGGTAGTAAAGCATCGTGGGTCTGTGTTTCCCGTCCGGAAGCTTTTCAGGGTCGGACTCAGCCGGAAAGAAATTGGTTTGGGGACTTGGATGAGAGGAAAAAGGGATTCACACCGGTAGGAGCAGCGAGGGAGAAGGGAGGCCGCCTTTCTGAGTCCCGTGGTGTTGATTTGTGAGGCAAAGCCTGTCTTTAGAAGATCGAGGAGGTGAATAATTGACTCTTGCTCTCATTCTCTGCCTCCTTCCTGAAGGGGGTTTGCCAGAGAGGTGCCCAGAGGGCCTTTCAGAGGACAGTATTGACACTGACACCTCCTCTGGTCAGATTTGGAGCCTCTCCTGTGGGCCTGCATCTGTAAGGCTTCCTTGTGTGTCTGTAAGACCTTGGGGAGGGGTCTCCTCGCCTTCCCAGGACGACGGCTTTGGACTACGTCTGTGACATGTCCCCCATCACTTCCTGCAAGGACAGCAGCCGCCAACGCCGGCCTGGCAGCTACCAGAGCTCCCTGGACGTCCTGAAGAACGACGCTTCAGGCCTGGATTTCTACGAAGATGGCCCTGCTGGGGCAGGTGCCGGCGGAGACCGAGAGGCCCTGCTTGGAGAACCCAATTCTAGGCCTCTCGGGCACCCTCAAGGCTACCGAGCAGAGCTGGGCAGCATCCTACTCCTCCTTTTCCTATACATCTTGCAAGGCATCCCTTTGGGCCTTGCGGGCAGCATCCCACTCATCCTGCAGAGCAAGAACGTGAGCTACAAGGACCAGGCTTTCTTTAGCTTCGTCTTTTGGCCGTTCAGCTTGAAGCTCCTCTGGGCCCCCTTGGTGGACGCCGTCTACTTCAAGAGCTTTGGCCGGCGCAAGTCCTGGCTGGTGCCCACTCAGTACACCTTGGGCCTCTTCATGATGTACCTCTCCATGCAGGTGGACTCTCTGCTCGGGGGAGCAGACGGCAAGAGTCCCGACGTGCTAGCCCTCACTGTCACCTTCTTCTTGTTTGAGTTTCTGGCGGCCACTCAGGATATCGCAGTGGATGGCTGGGCGTTGACTATGTTGTCCCGGGAGAATGTGGGCTATGCGTCCACTTGCAACTCTGTAGGCCAGACAGCTGGCTACTTCCTGGGGAATGTCTTGTTCTTAGCACTTGAATCAGCTTCTTTTTGCAACAAGTATTTGCGTTTTCAGCCTCAACCCCAAGGAATTGTTACACTTTCAGGTATTGTTTGTTGAAGGGAATAGAATAATAATAATGTGTTGTTGTTGTTTATACGTTCAGTCACTTCCGACTCTTTGTGACCTCATGGACTAGCCCACACCAGAGCTCCCTGTCGGCTGTGACCACCCCTAGTTCCTTCAAAATTAGGCCACTCACTTCAAGAATACCAATGAGTCTCCTGAGGACTGAGAAGGGCGGTATACAAATATAGTAAATAATATAATATAATAATAATAAAACTTTATTTGTATCCCGCCCTATCTCCCCATGGAGACTCAGGGCAGTTTCCAACAAAGCAGGGAAACATTCAATGCCTATAGCAAAATCAATGAGCATAAAAATTTAAACAAAAAAAACCAGTAAACATTGCACAACAGAAATTTAAAATAAGCAATTTAGAGGTAAAGGTTTCCCCTTGACATTAAATCCAGTCAGGTCCAATTCTGGGGGATGGTGCTCATCTCAGTTTCTAAGCTGAAGAGCCAGTGTTGTCTGTCGACGCCTCCAAGGATAATAACAATTTTAAAAGCCAGCCTTGCCAGAGTGTCATACCAGTTCCATTCCACTGTTAATGATGTAGGGATCGCTGAAGATAACTTATATTTCTCTTTCAAGATTACATTCATTTCAGGTTGAAAAATGCTTCATCTGTACTGTAGTAAGAAAAGACAATGTCCTCATGCTAATACAGAAAGTTTCAAGAAGGCCCCTCTTGTGGATTGTGGGAAGAACTAGTCTTCAGAATTGTTTTGTCTGCCTGATTCTAAAGATTCACTTTTAGTAGTTGCTTAATCATTGTTTTTCATTTAATTTAATGCAAACTTTTTTCCCTTTAAGCGACTTCAGAAATGGAGTGTACCTTAGATTCAATGGTGCCTTAGGCCCCTTCCACACAGCTGTATAAAATCCACATTGAACTGGATTATATGACAGCGTGGACTCAGATAACCTAGTTCAAAACATATTGTGGGTTATCTTCCTTGATATTCTGGGTTATATGACTGTGTGGAAGGGCCCTTAGATTCACTGGTTTTGGGTTTTTCTTTCAAATTTGCCTAACCTAGTGAATTGGATGGGGAAGATCCCAACTTCAAACAGCTCTGCCATGCCCCCACCATTTTGCTTAGCCTCAGCCAAACGGCTGTTTACCAATCTTTATGCTAAGCTCCGCTTTCTGTTTCTGCTGTATTCCCAATTGGCTCATATTTTATATACCCATGCAGACAAATTACTTGTTGGCTTCACACTCTCTGCTCACTCCACAGGAAAGATTGCACTTTAAAGGTATTGTGCATGCAGAGGGAAATTGAAAAAAATATTCTTAGAAAATTGTTTTTTTCCTAAAACTAAAGCTTCAAAAATAAGGTGTGCCTTACATTCGATGGCACCATAGATTCAGTGAAATATAGTACATGTTTGCTTGATACAAAACCAGTGTACACAATATGGGACATTCTGCTGTATTAGAACATACATTCAGAATATGAAATAATGTAAAACTCCTTTGTACCAGATGGCAGGTTTACATTTGCATATTTGCTTAGATTACCTTCAAGAATTGGGATTCATTAACCAATGCTATTGTTATGCCTACACTATGACAATAGCATTAATTAAAGAACCTGCGTCAAGTTACCTTTATCCAAGCTTAGCGGTAATGGGGGAGAAAGAATATTTCTAATACATGTAATGTTCACTCAAGGGTGGTTTGTTTATTATAATGTTTATACAAATAGTTAAAAGCTTCTCAAATTGTAGGTTTTGTTTAGTTCTCTTCAGAGGAGGAATAGGGGCCCTGATTTCTTGTTGGAATTAGTCTTGCCATTGTAAAGAGTAATGGGATTTGTTTTACCTCATCAAGGTCCAAAACTGATCTATTCCAAATGTAGATTAATTCACTTAGGTATGAAGTTCACTTCCATGGGGAAGAGTAAAGGCATGGATTACAGAATTCTGTTGTCCCGCGGACTCCAGGCTGTTGCTTTACGGATTGAGTCTATCCATCTGAAATGTAATCTTCTTTCCCTACTGCCCTCGATCTTACCAACCATTTTTGTCTTTTTTAGTGAGTCATCTCTTCCCATAATATGGCCAAAGTACGACAACCTCAGTTTAGGGGCTATACTCTTTGTTGGTCCTAATATCTGGAGTGAGGAGCAGGCTTTGTCCTTTTGACCCAGGTGGGAACCAGTAAGGGCGAAGGCAAAAATACTTTGTACAGTGGAGTGACTTTATTCTTTTGTTTGCTTATGTTGAGTGAAGCATTCTGTTGGGAACTAGATTTAATAATTCTTTTAATTCTTTAAAAATAAAAAGTAAGAATTTCACATGGGCTATTATGCCAATCAATGGCTTATTTTTTATAGTAGGGCAGGACGTAGTGATAGTATTAACAGTGAATTCTTGTAAAAATAGTGTTTGTAAACTTTTCTCTTTAATCTATTTTTGCTACTTTTAAAGACTATAAAGACACTTCTGTAGATATACCAGTTTAGATCTCTGTCTTACCGTGTCAGATCAATCTGCTACGTCAGCTCTTGTGACGTAGTTACTTCTGCATCGTGGAAGTAACTTAAGAGCTATTAAATTACAACCACCAAAAATCCATTATTTAAGCATTATGAAAATAGATGCCTTCTTTCTCTGGAAAAAAACATATTTGGAGACAATCCAAATAGAAAAAGTATTGTTTTACTTTTGGAGGAATTAATCCAATTCCACTACAAAAGCTTTTCACAAGCTCTGGTTTTATTTTTAAAAATAGTATGGAAGGAAGAACTTTTAGGATACTATCTATAAAATGATCATAATTTTATCCGTGAAACAATGTGGTGAGGTGTGCTAGGAAAAGACCAGCCCACTGAATGAAATTCATGCCTAAGCATTTCTTTGAACCCATGTCACACCCTGTATGCTTTAACATCTTGTTTATATCACTTTTATTACTCTCTCTCATATAACCCCTTTTGAATCTTTCTTTTATTTTTCTGCATCTCTGTAACACCAAAAGGTGACTTTGCACTGCTAGGGAGCTTAAAGCAATTTGTACTATCAGTGCTTTTTGTTTGTTTTGTACAGTATATAGTAGCTTGGGTTGTAAAACAGCAATTTTATAGCATTGGGAGAAAATATATACCATAAAATAATTTTATTGGCTTCAGTCTCTTTTAAGAGGCAATACCCTGCAATCACTGTAAATATATATTTAATTTAATAGTAAAGTAGATATTGTCACCTTGCAATATATAATCATTTTCAGGAGGACATGAAAGCAAATCATTTGTACAATTTCTGCCTTTAGAAGATTAGATTCTAGCAGAAGAAAATTTAAAAAATTAAACAAAGAATAAATATGCAGCAAAAGACTGTGTGACTTTGGGATGGCTGCTCTTACATCTTGCTATGTGTTCGGTTACTCAAATTAATCATTATTCACAATTTTAATTAGTTGGGAATTAAGAAGACTCAGCATAGAATAGTGCTTTGAGTGTTGGACTAGGGCTCCTGAAGACTAAGAGTTTGAAATCCCACTCAGCAACGGATCAACTATGGAAGATCATATTGTCTCGGGGTGCATTTACACTGTAAAATTAATGCAGCTAAGCACCGCTTTAACTACCATAGTTCAATACTATGGAACCATGGGAGTTGTAGTTTTACAAGGACTTCAGCCTTTTTGGTCAAAGAGTGCTGTTGCCTCACCAAACTACAACTCCCAGGATTCTATAGTATTGATGTGTGGCAGTTAAAGTGGCATCAAACTGCACCAATTCTACAGTATAAATGCACACTTTGCAATGGGACAGCAATGGCAAACTCCCTCTGAACAAATCAACCATTGTAGGTTACTTGTGGCTATTGTTTTGTGCCTTTGTCATTTCCAGTCTACAAGGTGAAGCTATCATGGGGTATTCTTGGCAAAAATTGTATAGAAGGAATTTGGTGTTACCTTCCCTTGAGGCTGAGAAAGTGTGAGAGGCTCACAAGTGGCTTTCTGTAATTGAGTAGGGATTTCCCAGTTCTGGACTATCACTCAACCTATTTCTCCATGCTTGCTCTTCAGAGTTAGTTTAGGTTTACCGTATTTTAGAAATGAGCTGAAAGCATAGAACAACAGCTAACTACACTAAAGTTAAAGCATGGAATAAAACATTTGAAAGAAATAGTGTGCATTTATGACAGGAAATATACATTTGAATCATGCATTACTGCATTTAAGCAGTGAAAAATACATTACATTGTAAGCAGAAAAATTTGTCTTCACAGATTTCCTCTTTTATTGGGGTGCTGTTTTCTTAATAACAACCACCTTGGTAGCACTCTTGAAAAAAGAAGATAAGAAAATTACTCCATCCAGAGAAGAAACAAAAGGCATAATGGATACATACAAGCTGCTTTTCTCAATAGTTAAAATGCCTGCAGTCCTAACATTCTGTGCCATGATTTTAACTGCAAAAGTGAGTATTTTTTTTTTGCAATTACTAGTGTGTCATTTTTATAAGTTGCTATTTACCCATACATGTGCTTTCAGTGACAAGAAATAAATGTAAAGTGACAAGTAATAAATGGAAATTCAGTGACAAGTAATAAATGGAAATAATAATAATAATAATAATAATAATAATAATAATAATAAATGGAAAGGCTGCTGTGATTGCTGTGTGACTTAAAAATGCAATTTTTTTCTTCCCCCCCCCCCATTCCCCAATGTAGTAGAAAGCAATAATGTTAATTTTATTCTCTTTTCTATGTGAGAATGCAAAGGTTTCTGCAAGTTTTTTGAGATCTTTGTGTCACCTGAGGCATGCACTTTAATAGGAGCAGTAGGATAAAAGCATTTTTCAATTACTATTTTGAATACATGTGTAGTAGTAGTACAATGATGACTTCTGTTACAATGCCTGGCAGAGCTTCTATGGTAAGTATACACATAGTATAAATACATAATATACATAAGCTATAGTGTGCGTGTAAGCTTTATATGCATGTCTATTCTTAAACTCAAAGATGGAATTTATGGAGATGTATAATTCTCTGTTAAGACCATTGGGAGATGGAGTTCAACATTTGGAGGGCTGCATAATCCCCTTTACTGGTTCTCTTAGACATAATACCTAGTATAGACAAGAATGGGTTGAGATCAGCATATGCAAACAGCACAGCTGTACCCACACATACAAATTAATGCCTGAACACTGTTTCTAGTACAGTGATTTGAAGTGTAAAGATTTTTGGTAGTTTGTCCTCTCCTTACCCCTTTCAAGGCTCTGCAAAGAAAGGACCATACATCGCAATTAGAATACAATATTTTCAAGAAGAGTTCCAGGTTCAGTTTCAATGCATTAAGTAAATAATAGAGAAAACTTCTGCTTTAGACATCAAGAGTTGATACCAGTCAGAGAGCTAATAGTAGGCTAATTGACCAAGACATAAGTTCTAAGATATCATCCTGCATATAGCTTAAACCAAAATTGGAGAAAGTTTAAGCACACTGTGTGATCTCCAATTTATGTAATTTTAACTAATTTACATGCCATCAAAATAGCTTCGCCTAATGGTTAAGATAGTTGAACCATCTGCCTGCCAGAAGAAGAATTTACCGTTCCTGGTGACAGAACAAGTCCACACTACATGGCAGTTTTGTCTCTGTTCCAGACATAAATGCTTCCAGGGTTATAATCCTAATCCAGCCAAGTGGGATATGCTGCTGCTTTGCCCTCCTGCATCTCTGTGGTAGGAGAGAGAAGGCGAATAATCTTTATTTTTCCAAAATGCTGCTCTTTCTGTCTTCCGGACTGAAGTTGTAGCAAGCAGTTTGAAGGAGAGGAAAATGCATTAATCTACGGCACTGATTCTCAACCTGTGGGCCCCCAGATGATTTGGCCTTCAATTCCCAGAAATCCTAACAACTGGTAAACCAGCTGAGATTTCTGAGAATTGTTAGCCAAAACACCTGGAGAAACACAGATTGAGAACCAGTGAACTAGGGCTCACTGGCTGCATGTATGCAACCCTAACTTGGTTAAATCAGTCAAGAAAAAAAGTAGCTTTATGATAGTAAATGCATTCTCTTCCGTCTTTCTTTCATGATGTGCTATAGTGAACACTAGTGATCCATTAAACCATAGTTACCTATTTAGTCTCATTTTGAAAAACATAGCACAAATCCATTAAAGGACAATGCCTGAGAGCTTCTTCTGTGAGGACTGAGTATACCTAATCACTACAAAATCCTGCATTTCATAGGTAGCATAGGAAAACTGGAGTATCGGTGAAATGGAATAGGGCATTTTTGAAAGGGCCTGTCTGGCTGGAACTGGAGCACTATGTGCTGTAATGTTGTAGATCCTGTTTACCACACAAAAAATTTCCTCTTCAGATTGTTTCCTAGGCAATGCTGATAGTCAAGTAAGACCTCCATAGTACTGCTGTGCCACTTCCTTTATCTGTCATGATAGATTGTTATGTGTTGTTTCTTGACAAACATTTGAAATAGTTTTTAGTAAATTCGAATTTGACGTCTGGTTATAGAAGACTAAGACAAATTTTATGTCAGGACCTGTTCAGAGTTCCAAGCTCTTTTTTTGGTCAATGTTTAGCACAATAGTCAAAATTTCTTTGGCTAAGAGCCATCATGACAAATAGGTTAGCCTTCTAGTTGGCTGCTTTCCTAGGATAGGTACTTGTAGCTGTCCAGATTCTTCACTTGGAGCATGCTGCCTAAGCCAAAATTTCTTTGGCTAAGAGCCATCATGACAAATAGGTTATTCTTCTAGTTGGCTGCTTTCCTAGGATAGGTACTCGTAGCTGTCCAGATTCTTCACTTGGAGCATGCTGCCTAAGTATAGACATTGTAGCAAAACATGGTTTGTACTAACTATAATTAAACCCATAGCATACTTTGACCTTCCAAACACACAGTAGTCGTGCCATGATTTAGGGCTATTTGCTTGTTTTCATACCCCATGTACTCCATGCTCATCTTCATCAGCACACTTCTATCCCCGTGATGCAGCAGCCATCAACAGGAATTTCCAAACCAGCCTGAGTTCTTGGGGTTTTATTCTGGTTTGCTGTCTTGTCATGGTTTTAGGTGGAAAACAATGAAAACCATGGCTTGTTAATGGTGCTGTATTTCAATAGTCGTTATTGTATGTGGCAGGCAAGTAGAGTTCGGTTTTGTGTATAAAAAAAACTAGACAAAACCTTAACTTGCAATTCTTGGTCATAGTGTTGGGAGTTGGATCTTTGCTCTCTTTCCAGATAATCTTTTTATAGGTAACTAGGTGCAAGTATTAAAAATGGCGTATTACATGACTTGTTATGAAGACGGGTATGAGACAGATTGTAAAATGCTTTGCACATGACCATCATAATAGAAATAAACAAGACTTTATGTTACAGATTGGATTCTCAGCAGCAGATGCAGTAACAGGACTCAAACTGATAGAAGAAGGAGTACCTAAAGAACACTTAGCTCTCCTTGCTGTTCCAATGGTTCCACTGCAAATCATATTGCCTCTGATTATCAGCAAATATACAGCAGGTCCACAGCCTCTGAATACATTTTACAAAGCTATGCCATTTAGGTAAAATATGTTGGTTTTTCTGCTTGTTAATATACAGCTTAATCTATTAATGCGGAACTATAATTTTGTAGTCATTAAGAACAATGAGGTGTATATGTTGGGTTTCTGTTCTGTAGGGGAACTTATTCTGAAGTAAAGTAATGCTGTTGATTGAGGCCTTCCAAGAACTGTGTTTGGCAACAGAAATTTTACTTACTGCATCTGTATTAATTACAAATGAGTGACCCTGTAGTTATTTTATATATAGGTTTTGCTGAATTTTCAGTTTATATTGAACTTAAAGTATAGCTACAAGGCCAAGTGGGGAAGTAAAGCTTTCAATGTGTGAGGACAGATCATATTTCCATATGGTTAATGGTTCTTTTGATACTGGAAATAATTTGTGTTCGCTTGTCTGGAAAGCATTAGGTTTAGGTATCTCTGCAGGTATCATCCTACTTTTTGTTTTCCTTTATCCATCTCTTTAAAAAAATGCAATAAGAATTCCTATGATCAAGTGGGATCCTTTAAGTTTATAAAGCAGGATGCATGTGAATGATTTATTTCTGCCATAAGTAAGCCATAAATACTCTGTGATAAGTGGACTTGACAGTTTAACTAAGGTTAATTCAAAATGATCCCCCCCCCCCCACAGGCAGCATATGAGGGACACTAGAAAATGTCTAGTGGTTACCATGATTTACTTTTTCTTGCAGCTATCTTTGATTTATTTATGATCATAAGTTGTAGTCTAATCAAGTTATATTCTGTTGAATAATGTTAATGTTCATCCAGGATTTTTCTTATTTTCTTTGCACTACAGATTACTGTTTGGATTGGAATTTGCTTTCTTGGTGTGGTGGACTCCTAACGTTAAATATGAGGGAGGCTTTCCTATCTATTACTACATTGTATTGCTGCTGAGTTATGCCTTACACCAGGTAACACTCTTATAATTTTCTTATATAAATTAAGGTTCTTTTTTAACAGTTATCTGTTATTATACCTACCAGCATACATACACACATATCCGCAACCTCAATATACTGCAGTAGTCTTTAATACAGCGGCAGGACCAATTTTCCCCTACTAGATAGATACTCTTGTGAACTGTCTCCTCCCCATAAACACTCAGTATCCCAAGCTCTGGTCATTCATCATTTTCTCTCAAAATGGTAACAGAAAGTGAAAGTATATTACTTATTTTTGCTATTTTGAGAGCATCTGTTGGAGAAAATGGGTATTAAAGGATTGTGGAATTTTTGCATGTTTAAATGCATTGGTTTGTGGGCAAAGTGCATAGTTTGTGGGCAAAATAGCTTGAAACCCACACTATTTCTTTAAAATGTGGTGTTGAAGTCCTCGTAGATGGCAGTCCAAGGATTTTTGTGATCGACAGGCTGCACTCTTCCCATCCCTGCTATAGATATATGCAGGGTCATGAAATATACTTGTCTTCTCTTCTGAAGTCTCTAAGTAGATCATATATTTTCATAGTATGGTCAGTAAAGGAAAGGAAATGCAACTACGTGATGAAAAATGTATTGACGAAGGCTTTCATGGCAAGAATCGCTGGGTTGTTGTAGGTTTTTCAGGTTTTATGGTCATGTTCTAGAAACATTCTCTCCTGACGTTTCACCTGCATCTGTGACAAACATCCGCAGAGGTTGTCAGATTTGTTGGAAACTAGGAAAATTGGGTTTATGTATCTGTGGAAGGTCCAGGGTGGGAGAAAGATGAAAATTTCTACAAAGCTCTGCTGGATCAACTATTTAGTCCAGCATTCTGTTTCCTATAATGGCAAACCTGTTGCTTGTGGGAAGCCCATATTCAAATCCTGAATAGCAGTGTCTTTGTTTTCTATAGGAACTTGTAAGCAGAGGCTTATTGCTGCCACTGATACTAGGAGTTGTATATAGCTATAATTATCAACCTTATCCTCCATGGGCTAATCCCCTTTTAAACCTGTCCAAGTTGGCAGCTGCCACTACATTTTGCAGTAGTAAATTCCGGTTTAATTACAGGACCTTACAGATGCACTTATCTTAAATGTTCTTGATTTAGACTAACTTAGTTGTGTTACAAGCTGGAATTGAAATGAATTCCTCTGAATTCCACTTTCAAGTAATACTGAAAACTGAGCAGGTGCTCCAGGATGAAACGGCAGGTAAACAAAAACAAAGTGGCACTTGTTTGTTGCTCAGGTATTCACTTTCTTTAACCAGTCGTTGGTAAAAGCAACTATACCAGCAATTAGAATGGTGAGCCTTTGACAGTATCATATTTCCAAGATATCTCTAGCATGTGCTACGAGTTTGCATAATTAATCTAAGAGCAGAAAGCACAAGTGATCCTGCTCAACATCTTCACCCTGTTTCTTTCATCTGTTCTCAGTGATAGAAGTGCATGGGCAGGGTGCATAGATAATATGCGTCAGAGTTGTGAGAGAAAAAATAGCAACCTATAGTCAGCATTCCCCTCACTTTTCTGTGTTTTCAGTAAAAAGGAATTTTTTTATCGTGTCAGAAGCGACTTGAGAAACTGCAAATCGCTTCTGGTGTGAGAGAATTGGCCGTCTGCAGAGACATTGTCCAGGGGACGCCTGGGGGAGGCTTCTCTTATATCCCAAAAGGAAAGATAATGTAATACGATATCCATAACATTCTATAACCTTTTGATTTTCTTCTAAGCTCCAGCAGTGGGCACCTTGCAAAGGTGTCCGTGGTAAAATGAAACTCCACATTGTTTAACTGAGTTAATTTTTAAAAAGCTAGTTTAGTAATGTCAGCTATTTCAGGAGATCTAATGTTCACTTAAATCTTACATCCTTACCTTGATTCTCTGAATTTTATTGCTTATTGTTCCCTAGGTCACGGTTTACAGTATGTATGTTGCAATCATGGCTTTCAATGCTAAAGTTAGTGACCCACTTATTGGGGGGACGTATATGACACTACTTAACACAGTGTCAAATCTGGGAGGAAACTGGCCTGCCACTGTAGCCCTTTGGCTTGTGGACCCACTTACAGCAAAGGAGTGCATTGGAGTTCAAGGACACAACTGTGCCACTGCAGCTGCTACAGAAGTAAGTAGAGGTTCCCCATTTTAGTTTATACAATGACACTGATACTCTACATTGATTTCCTTGTTTCAAAGGCTTTATAAGACAAATTAGGTTATTTTTGGGTTGCTGTAAGTTTTCCGGGCTGTATGGCCCTATTCCAGAAGCATTCTCTCCTGACGTTTCGCCCACATCTATGGCAGGCATCCTCAGAGGTTCTGAGGTATACTGGAAACTAAGCAACGGAGGTTTATATATCTGTGGAATGTCCAGGGTGGGAGAATGAACTCTTGTCTGCTGGAGGCAAGTGTGAATGTTGCAATTAATCACCTTGATTAGCATTGCAAAGCCTTGCAGCTTCAAGGCCTGGCTGATTCCTGCCTAAGGGAAATCCTTTGTTGGGAGGTGTTAGCTGGCCCTGATTGTTTCTTGTCTGGAATTCCCTTGTTTTCTGAGTATAGTTCTTTATTTACTGTCCTGGTTTTAGAGTTTTTAAAAAAATACTGGTAGCCAAATTTTGTTTATTTCCATTGTTTCCTCTTTTCTGTTGAAATTGTCCACATGCTTGTGGATTGCTATGGCTTTTTTGTGCGAGTAACATGGTGGTTGTTCGAGTGGTCCAGCATTTTTGTGTTCTCACATAATATGCTATGTCCAGGTTGGTTCATCATGTGCTCTGCTATGGCTGACTTCTCTGGTTGAGTCAGTCTGCAGTGTCTTTCATGTTCCTTGATTCATGTGTGGCCCATTCTAACAATCACCATTGCTATTAAATTGCACTTATTATTTGAATTTGAATTTCTTTTTGGAGACCACTAGCTTTCTATTACTTTCTCGAAAGCCTTCTTCTGTACATCATTGCTGAGCTTTGTTGTGATAGAATAACAAACTGGAATAAATGGGGGAATTTTTGTAATGTTTATGTAAAAGCAACTTGTTTATTTACTAGACTTCATGCATTTTTAACTTCAGTAATTAATATAACACCACCCTACCCTTACTGTCTTGCAGCTTTGTTCCAAAGCAGGTGGATCCTGTGTTATTACCTTGGACGGTTATTACGTTGAGTCTCTGGTATGCGTCGCTTTGGGATTTGCTTGGTGGCTGTTTCTTGGACCTAGATTCAAAAAGCTCCAGGATGAAAGAGCATCTTCATGGAAATGCAGGAGAACAAGTTAATGGAAACGGAAGACTGGAAAGAATGAGAAAAATGTTATATATGGGGATAAAATAATACATATTGGAAAATGGTCAGTTTACTCATGCCAAATGACTTTATGACAAAAGTAAGGCCAGGAAAGTCGTATATGGGTCAGTGATAAAGTTTGCCCTCACCATCCAGAATTCATCTTAAGATTTTTAAAAAGTAATCAAAATCTCCAGTACTTTTTAAAAACTTCAATTGACCGTTTGCTATCTTCTGGTCGATTTATTTAACATTACCTCAGAACAAAAAAAAAAACCACCTGAATAGGGTACATCAACATTTTGATTAATTATAAGCTTTGAATGTATATAGTAAAAAGTTATTCAAAGGAGAAATATTTTTCTTTTAATTTTTTATAATTTAGGTCATGATTATACTTTGTAGGAGAAAACACTTAGCAGAAACTTCTCTTACGTGTATTTTTCTGGCTGCTAGAAGCTTTAAAGATTTATAAGAGAAATATTTTTATAATAGCTTTTTTAAAAAAACAAAACACACACACACACTTTACTTCAAAGGCACTTTGATTTGCAAATATTTTCTTTAGCATAAGTATGAAGATGTGTGTGAATAAGCTCATGGGATGCTAAATTGTCATGAGCAGCAAAGAGGCCAGAAAGCATTGGTACCAGTACTGAGGACAAAGCTTTCAAAAGAGGAACAAGAATGATATCCGTGAGTTCGGTTTCAGTGTAAAAAAACCAAATATATAGATTCTTAAGAAATGAATACACTTTAATAGTGTATGGAACCCAAAAGGAGCAGGATAAAGAGACTGTGACTGTGTCTCTTTATTGTGGAAATGCTGCTCAAGAGCAGGCATGAGATTTTGATGTACATCGTTCAACCATTCCACAGATGCTACAAATCTGTAGCAGATAAAGTCGTTCATTACAATGATCCTTGTTAAGTGGAAATGTTTGCTTTAGTGCCTTAATGATGTACAGGAAAGGGGCACTGTATGGATATGTTGTCAAAGGCTTTCATGGCCAGAATCACTGGGTTGCTGTGAGCTTTCTGGGCTGTATGGCCATGTTCCAGAAGCATTCTCTCCTGACGTTTCACCCACATCTATGGCAGGCATCCTCAGAGGTTGTGAGGTCTCTTGGACACTAGGCAAGTGAGGTTTATATATCTGGAATATCCAGGGTGGGAGAAATAATTCTTTGTCTGTTGGAGGCAAGTGTGAATATTGCAATTAATCTCCTTGATTAGCATTGCAAAACCTTGCAGCTTCAAGGTCTGGCTGATTCCTGTCTAGGGGAATGCTTTGTTGGGAGGTGTTAGCTGGCTCTGATTGTTTCATGGATCACTCTAACAACCACTACGTTAGACAACATAGAGAAGCCATTGAAATCCACAAGCATGTGGACATTTTCAACAGAAAGGCAGAAACCATGAACATGAACAAAATCTGGCTACCAGTATTTTAAAAAACTAAAATCAGGACAGTAAATAAAGAGAAACATTCTAAAAACGGGGGAATTCCAGACATGAAACAATCAGGGCCAGCTAACACCTTCCAACAAAGGAATCCCTCAAGCAGGAATCAGCCAGGCCTTGAAGCTACAAGGCTTAGTAATGCTAATCAAGGTGACTAATTGTAGCATTCACACTTGCCTCCAACAGACAAGTGTTCTTTCTCCCACCCTGGACCTTCAACAGATATATAAACCTTCCTTGCCTAGTTTCCAATATACCTCACAACCTCTGAGGATGCCTACCATAAATGTGGGCAAAACATCAGGAGAGAATGCTTCTGAAACATGGCCATACAGTCCGGAAAACTCAGAGCAACCCACTGTATGGATGTTTGTTTGTTTTTTTACATTTTTCACATTAAAATACTTTCAAAAGATGTGACAGCCTAATGTCATACTTCTGATGCTGTTATGAAATGCTGAAATATTAATATCAATTTTGTCTCTGTTTTATTGGTTATTTCAAAAAGTCACTTCTTTCTGAAATGTATATTGATTTTTGATTCCGAGTGAATCTCTAGGATTTATATTGCACAAGTTTTTTTTCTTATAAAACTCTTTTTAGAGTGTAAATAAACCTTAAGTCTAGGAAAAGGAAGCGAAATATCTTAAGCACACTTTCTTGAGAGAGTGGCTCTTGCTTCCTAGGAACAGATTGGGATTCTAGTATCAGAAGGAGTTCTATCACTATCAGCACAAGTTCTTTAGACTTAATTTGGTCTGTTTTAATCACCATTTAAGGAGCAAAACAATCCAGTTAAATGAAATATAGATAGTGAATCTGTTCTGAATTTTAGTGGCAGTATTGACGGTTATGTCCACAGTCCAAGGCTGATCTCCAGGAAAGGGTTATCACTTTGAATAGCTCTTTTAAAGTTCAAACCATTCCCTAGAAATTGACATGGAAGGGGTGCATAACCAAGTCATTAATAAAATAGACACTAAAAGCTAGATTTACCTCAGAATATTGTTGGTAATTGCTTTATAGATTTCAGTGGCAGACTGAAACCTTGAAACTCTTATAAAAACAATTTTAATTGAGAGAGTGGCATTTCTTATGGCTATCCCATATATGATTATTTAGAGCAGTCCTGGATTTTCCCTATAACTTTAAAATAGCTCCATATGAAAAAAGTTTCAAGGTTGTTGCTCATCATGAAATTGATAATCCAATTCATAATATGATTTACTCTGATGCACTTGAACTATATTAAACGCAAGTAACAGTGTTTAATTGGCTAGTCACTTAGTTTATATGTTTCCTAAGTTGAGCGACTTGTTGCATTCTGCGTCACAGAATTTGAGAGTTAAGTTTTCTCCCCTTGGCATGTCATTGTAACATAGCGATGGCATATAAATATATATTTAATATACCGACCTGTTTACTTGAATGAAAAATGCTTAGTGCTTTGGCTATATTCTCATTTTATTTCATTGTTGACAATAATCTGATTTCGTTTGCCTTGTGTTTGATCCAAATGAGCGCAAATAAAATAATACTAGCTTCAGTGCTATATGCATAGAGTAGTTCATTAGTGGGTATTTGGATGCCTTGAACATGTATTTATTATAATTCTATTTTTTTGTTTTGTTTTGTCACAGCATAAATAAAAGACCTAGTAACAAAAACTTCATTCCTTATCTCTAGGTAGCATTTGGGGTGGGAACATTTCTAGGAAAGAGTACTGGGTTCCTGAACATGCACAAAAAAAATCATTTCCGTATTACTGTTTATACAGTGTGCCAATATAAATAAAGTTTATGCATTTTTAAAAATCTAATGCTGTAGAGTATTTTTTTAATGAGTAATTAAAGCACAAGCCCCTTGGTGGCACAGCGGGTTAAAACGCTGAGCTGCTGAACTTGCTGACTGAAAGTTTGGCGGTTCAAATCCAAGGAGCAGGGTGATCTCCCGCTGTTAGGCCCAGCTTCTGCCAACCTAGCAGTTCAAAATCATTCAAATATGAGTAGATCAATAAGTACCACTTCTGCGGGAAGGTAATGGCACTCCATGCAGTCATGCTCCCCAACCACATAACTTTGGAGGTGTCTGCGGATAATGCCGGTTCTTCAGCTTAGAAATGGAGATGAGCACCACCCCCCAGAGTCCGACATGACTAGACTTAATGTCAGGGGAAACATTTACCTTACTTTAATTAAAGCACAGCATTATAGCAAAGCCCAAAGTAACATGAATTGCAACTTGGAGAACCATTTTAATAATAATGTATGAGATCCAAAGGTTCATTTAACAAATCCACTTGCTTTCTGCAACATCTTACCTTCACTCATCCATATTTTAAAATGCTGTCAATATTCAAAATAACTTGTGACACATAGTATGGTATTCTGGTCTTTAAATGCTGTGGATATAACATGTTTTGATTTCAGTAAGGTCTTTAACAAGGTCCCCCATGATCTTCTTGCAAATAAACTAATAAAATCCGGGCTCAATAATACTACTGTTTGGTGGATTTGTATTTGGTTAAGTGACCGAACCCAAAGGGTGCTGATTACCAATGATCCCTCTTCATCCTGGAAAGAAAGGATTAGTGTTCTGCAGGGTTCTTTCCTGGGCCCAATGCTGTTCAACATCTTTATTAAGGTGAAGTTTTCGAGGGCATGCTTATCAAGCTTGCAGATGACACCAAATTGGAAGCAATAGCTAATACTCCAAGGGACAGGATCAGAAATGACCACAACAGATTAGAGAGCTGGGCCAAAACGAACAAAATGAATTTCAAGAAGAAGTGTAGGGTACTTCACTGAGGAAGAGAAAAAAATGAAATGCACAGATATAGGATGGGTGACCCCTGGCTGGACAACAGCCTAAGTGGACAAGATATCCAGATCAAGTGAGGCCATGGTGTCTCTCTATTCTGATTTGGTCAGACCTCACCTGGAATACTGTGTCCACAATTCAAGAGGGATATTTATTTATTTATTTACTGCATTTATTGACCGTCGCTCTCAGCCCTAGGGCGACTCGCGGCGGTGCACAACATATAAAAACAGTTTACAAAAGGGCAAAACAGGAAATCAATACAACAATAATACACTATAATCTAGTTACACTAAATAATCCGCTCCGTCACATCATAGAATCATAACCAATATCGTAATCCGTATTCCGTTCCAGTTGTCAATTACCAGTTGCCGTAGCGCTCAGTTGAATGCCTTCTCAAATAGCCAGGTCTTCAGGCTCTTACGGAAGGACAGAAGGGAGGGTGCCTGTCTGATGTCAGCAGGGAGGTCGTTCCACAGCCGGGGGGCCACCACCGAGAAGGCCCTTTCTCTCGTCCCCGCCAGACGTGCCTGTGAAGCAGGCGGGATCGAGAGAAGGGCCTCCCCAGACGATCTCAAGGTCCTCGTGGGCTCATAGGCCAAGATGCGGTCCGAAAGGTATTTTGGGCCGGAACCGTTTAGGGCTTTGTAGGATAACACCAGCACCTTAAATTGACAACCTGGATGGACCATGCCCTCTGAAGAGCATCTTAAAGTGCTGGGAATGTTTAGCCTGCAGAAGACAAAATTGAGAGGGGACATGATCACCATGTTTAAATATTTGAAAGGATGTCATAAGGAAGAGGGAGCAGGTTTGTTTTCTGCTGCCCTGGAGACTCGAAGCAATGGGTTTGGATTACAGGAATGGAGATCCCACCTGAACATTAGGAAGAACTTCCTGACTGTTCCTGACCGCTGTTCAACAGTGGAACTCTGCCTCAGAGTGTGGTAGAAGCTCCTTCCTTGGAGGCTTTTAAATAGTGGATGGGTTGCTGTGGGTTTTTCGGGCTGTATAGCCATGTTCCAGAAACCACATCTTTGGCTATGGTAAACCTCACAACCTCTGAGGATGCCTGCCATAGATGTGAGCTAAATATCAGGAGGAAATGCTTCTGGAACATGGCAATACAGCCCAGAAAACTCACAACAACCCTGTGATTCTGGCCATGAAAGCCTTCGACAGCACTGAGTCTGGATGGCCATCTGTTAGGGGTGCTTTGATTCTGCTTTTCCTGCATGGCAGTGGGTTGGACTAGATGGCCCATGTGGTCTCTTCAAACTCTATGATTCTATGGAGAAGGAGATCCAAGAACTCCACTTGGCATTGTGAAAACCCTGAGTTTCAAAGTGTTTCAGACATGCTGGTATTATGTCTGGATGAGTTTATGTTTAACCTTGAGAGTTGACTTTAGGGAGCTTTTGTTTATGTTTATGCTTCAACTCAAGGGTAAACCAACATTTCCTGTTCTATCCATAGATATTTCGTATTCCTAAACCAGTGTTGCATTCTCAGATTGTGAACAACATCCCTACCTTTGGGATATTACAGTATATGGGGCCACTATGGCTTAGCAGTTTGTGAAATGAAGCACCTGCCTTTCACTTTTAATATATTACATAAACTGATGTTCCATTAAAACTGTAGATATTAAAGCTATCCGTAATATGTGAAAAGGTAAATGTAACATTTCAACTGCAAGATACGTAAATTACACAGGAAACTTTTAATTTAGAGCCTGACATATAATATACAATCCTCTTGGCGTGTAACTATTTCCTGTTTCAGAATAAAAGATTGCTTTTAGGGAATCAAGTACAATTATCTCATAACTACCTTCTTTCGGGGAAGGAGGAATGTTGAGGTCTGATAAGAGTATTATTTGATCCGTATCATTTGAACTACTTAGCCTGTCAATATTATCCAGCACTCTGCATTGTTATCTCCGCTTGTCTTTCCTCGTTTTACAAAGCTCGGTAATTAATTCTGGGTTTTCCATTAAAGAGGGGAAAGCAAATTAATGACTTAGATGAAGGGTTAGAAGGCATGATCCTCAAGTTTGCAGACGATACCAAATTGGGAGGGATAGCCAATATTCCAGAAGAGAGGAGCAGAATTCAAAATGATCTTAACAGATTAGAGAGATGGGACAAAACTAACAAAATGCAATTCAACAGAGACAAATGTAAAATACTCCACTTGGGCAGAAAAAAATGAAATGCAAAGATACAGAATGGGGGACACCTGGATCAATAGATAGCAGTAAGTGTGAAAAAGATCTTGGAGTCCTCATGGACAACAAGTTAAACATGAGCCAACAATGTGATGTGGCAGCTAAAAAAAGCCAATGGGATTTTGGCCTGCATCAATAGTAGTGTAGGGGCAACGAAACCAGAATATTTCCCAAAAAGGCAGAAGCCCCCTTTCCAATAGGGAGGGCAAGGATGGACACCACAAAAGTTGAATCTTTTAAACTGCAAAAAAACTATTTATTATTGCGTGGCCATAGCAATAACGACAAACAAGCATACAGGGATGCAATCAAAGGGTTTGTCGCAACCCCCAATGGGGCTGCAGAGCATTTATAGTAAATGGAATATACATTTTCATTGGTTCCCAAAGACAAATCATTTCATTGGTCTAAGTTAGCTATACAGTTGTTCATTAGTTGTTTATGATTTTGATTGACATTATAGCACACGTGGGATCCTAACAATGGCACAACTATAACATAACTATAGTCCATTGTTCTCTGACCATGACTGTATCTTATCTGTTAGTCTGTTGCAAACATGGCTTCAGAGCGACTGGGAAACTTGGGGGTTCTATCTAGCCAACAGCTAGCTGGTTTTGTCCGGATATACTGTTATTCTTGAATAGTAACTTCTTTGGAGCACTGATTTCTCAATCAGCATTTTCTGTGAACATAGGCCTACTGCAGAAATAGGCCAATATGGCAGTAAATCATGACATATGGGCATTGGGGAAATATCTGAAAATTCCCTTTTTAAAACCACGTCCCCTCCATTCAAACTGCTGATTGACAGAAGCTGGGCCTAACAGCAGCTCACCCTGCTCCTGGAGTACTGTGTCCAATTCTAGGGCACCACAATTCAAGGGAGATTCTGGAAGGTGTGTACAAGTTACTAAAATGATCAAGGATCTGGAGAACAAGCCCTATGAGGAGCGGCTTAAGGAGCTGGGCATGTTTAGCCTGAAGAAGAGAAGGCTGAGAGGAGATATGATAGCCATGTATAAATATGTGAGAGGAAGTCACAGGGAGGAGGGAGCAAGCTTGTTTTCTGCTGCCCTGGAGACTAGGACACGGAGCAATGGCTTCAAACTACAAGAAAGGAGATTCCATCTGAACATTAGGAAGAACTTCCTGACTGTGAGAGCTGTTCAGCAGTGGAAGTCTCTGCTCCAGAGTGGGGTGGAGGCTCCTCCTTTGTAGGCTTTTAAACAGGGGCTGGGTGGCCATCTGTCAGGGGTACTTTGAATGCCATTTCCCTCCTTCTTGGCAAGAGGCTGAACTGGATGGTCCACAAAAGTGTCTTTCAACTCTACGATTCTATGATTGTAAGTGCCTTCAAGTAGCCTGACCACTTATAGTCATCCCATTAATTTCATAGGGTTTTCTTAGGCAAGGCATACTCAGATGTGGTTTTTGCTAGTTTCTTCCTCTGAAAGATAGTCTACTCTACAGCATCTGATATTCCTTGGTGGTTTTCCATCCAGGTAGTAACCTAACCAGAGTCAACTCTGCTTAGCAAAAAGATCAAACAGTATCTGGAGGAACATGATGAAGAACTCCCTGACAGTGAGAGTTGTTCAGCAGTGGAACTCTCAGCCCCGGAGTTTGGTGGGGGCTCCTACTTTGGAGGCTTTTAAACAGGGGCTAGATGACCATCTGTTGGGAGTGCTTTGAATGCGATTTTCCTGCTTCTTGGCAGTGGGTTGGACTGGATGGCCCACAAAGGTCTCTTTCAACTCTACGATTCTATGGTTGTAAGTGCCTTCAAGTAGCCTGACCACTTATGGTCACCCCATTAATTTCATAGGGTTTTCTTAGGCAAGGCATACTCAGATGTGGTTTATGCTGGTTTCTTCTTCTGAAAGATAGTCTACAGCCTCAAACTAAGGCCCGAGGGCAGGATATGGCTTTCCAAGGTCATTTACCCGGCCCTCGACCAGGGTCAATCTAAGTCTGAAATGACTTGAAAGCACACAACAACAACAATCCTATCTCATCAGCCAAAAGCAGGCCCACAGTAATAAGTTTATATTTGTTTAAATTGTTATTAATTTTAATTATTGTATTTTAAAGTGTTTTTTTGCACTACAAATAAGATAGGAATTCGTTCATTTTTTTTTTCAAATTATAATCCGGCCCTCCAACAGTTTGAGGGACTGTGAACTGGGCCTCTGTTTAAAAAGTTTGAGGTCCCCTGGTCTACAGCATCTGATATTCCTTGGTGGTTTTCCATCCAGGTAGTAACCAGAGTGAACTCTGCTTAGCAAGAAGATCAAACAGGATCTGGAGGAACATGTGGTTTTTGCTGGTTTCTTCCTCTGAAAGATAGTCTACTCCTTGGTGGTTTTCCATCCAAGTAGTAAGAGTCAACTCTGCTTAGCAAGAGATCAAACAGGATCTGGAGGAACATGAGGAAGAACTTCCTGACTGTGAGAGCTGTTCAGCAGTGGAACTCTCTGCCCCTGAGTGTGGTGGAGGCTCCTTCTTTGGAGACTTTTAAACAGGGACTGGGTGGCCATCTGTTGGGGGTGCTTTGAATGCGATTTTCCTGCTTCTTGGCAGGGGGTTGGACTAGATGGCCCACGAGGTCTTTGCTATCTTAACTCCCAAAGGCAGTGGTTCTCAACCTGTGGATGTTTTGGCCTACAATTCCCAAAAATCCCAACCAGTTTACTAGCTGTTAGGTTTTCTGGGAGTTGAAGGCCAAAACATCTGGGGACCCACAGGCTGAGAACCATTGAGAACCAGCCCATGCCTGGTTTGAAGCTGCTTTTCAAAGAGACTGTCATGTCAGGCTTGGCTACATTTCTCCTTGCTGGCCAGGAAGGAGCGCTTTTGCTCCTTCTGGGCTGACAAAGCAAAGAGGGGACCTTGACTCTTCCTGTTTATCAGCCAACCCTCCAGCAGGTGGCGCTGTTGCCTGTGCGCGTCGGGCGGAAGCAGCGAGGAAGGGCTGGAGGCGGAGGTGTCCCGGGTTTTGATGGCGGGGGAACCGAGCCGGGCGCATCATTATGTGGCGCGCCTCTCCGAGTGGGCGGACGCACACCTGACTCTGCTGCGGGTACGTGGCCTAAAGGAGTCCCCAGGAAGGAAGGAAGCAAGGAAGGGGAAGGAGCAAGGAGACAGCCTGGGCCTGGCTTGGCTAGAGAAAGCAAAACAGCACATGGTGTGCATTGATGGACTTCCAGCTTGGCTTCCAATATCAAGCCACATCTAGTATAGACAGACACACAGAGGCTATTTAACATTCCAGCTTTTTCATGAGGGTATTCTGGCCACCAAGGGAGCTGTCGCTTCCCCATCCATTTGTGACACCCATGAAGTACTTCCTCATTTTTTTGCGTGCTTGCTGGAGATTTTTATGGCATCGTAAATTAGTCCCTGCGCATAAACTGTACCTAAATTAGGTTCTTGTGGGTTTTTTCGGGCTATAGGGCCATGTTCTAGAGGCATTTCTCCTGACATTTCACCTGCATCTATGGCAAGCATCCTCAGAGGTAGTGAGGTCTTTTGGAAATAGGAAAATGGGTTTATATATCTGTGGAATGACTGGGGTGGGGCAAAGAGCTCTCTGCTGAAGCTAGGTGTGAATGTTTCAGCTGACCACGTTCATTAGCATTTGAAGGCCTGGCTAAGCCTGGGAAAATGTTCTGTTGAGAGGTGTTAAGATGTGCCTGGTTGTTTCCTCTCTGCTGTTTTGCTGTTGTAATTTTAGAGTTTTTTAATACTGGTAGCCAGATTTTGTTCATTTTCATGGTCTCTTCCTTTCTGTTGAAACTGTCCACATGCTTGTGGATTTCAATGGCTTCTCTGTGTAGTCTGACATGGTGGTTGTTGGTGTGGTCCAGCATTTCTGTGTTCTCAAATAATATGCTGTGTCCAGGTTGGTTCATCAGGTGCTCTGCTATGGCTGACTTCTCTGGTTGAAGTAGTCTGCAGTGCCTTTCATGTTCCTTGATTCGTGTTTGGGCAATGCTGCATTTGGTGGTCCCTATGTAGACTTGTCCACAGCTGCATGGTAACGGTAGACTCCTGCAGAGGTGAGAGGATCCCTCTTGTCCTTTGCTGAACGTAGCATTTGTTGGATTTTCTTGGTGGGTTTGTAGATTGTTTGTATGTTGTGTTTCCTCATCAGCTTCCCTCATCAGGTTCCCTATGTACCTAAATTTCCTGCTTGACAGATGCAAATGTCTTTCGGGCTGCAAAGGTCGACAGCAAGCCACACAAAGTGGTCGGAAGCTCACTACGACTCGGTCTGGCTTCGAACTCATGACCTGATGAAGTACTTCCTCATTTTTTGCATGCTTGCTGGAGATTTTTATGGCGTCGTAAATTAGCTTTCCCACATAAGCTGCACCTAAATTTCCTACTTGACAGATGCAACTGTCTTTCGGGCTGCAAAGGTCGACAGCAAGCCACACAAAGTGGTCGGAAGCTCAGTACGACCCAGACTGGCTTCGAATTCATGACCTTTTGGTCAGTAATCTTAATGCAGCTGGCTCTTAATGCAGCTGACTTCGGGGAAAGAAGAGGGGATTCGGGCATAGGCAAACTTGGGTCCTCTGGGTGTTTTGGACTGCAACTCCCACAATTCCTAACAATTCCTAGGAATTGTGGGGGTTGAGGTCCAAAACACCTGGAGGGCCCAAGTTTGCCCATCCCAGGCTGTTAGGAATTGTGGGAGTTGCAGTCCAAAGCACCCGGAGGGCCCATGTTTGCCCATATCTAGGATAGATAGTAAGGGAATGTAGAGCTATCTAAACAATCATGCAATGTCCATGCCCCGAAATTGTATTTTAAAAACTTACAAAATTTACCATAATATCTCAATTGGTTCTCAGTTACCACCCATGCAATACCACATGATATTGTGGTTCTGGCTCAACTTACCTGTCCGGACGCATCTCCCCTTATGAACCTGCTAGGACTCCTGAACATGAAATTGTAATTTAAGATGGAATGTGTAACTTTGATGAAATAATTATGATAACATTGATCCTTCATATTACAAATATTGGCTTAGCCATTAAACAGTCATCATTCCTACTATTAGCTTTGTTTTGGGGAATACATTTCAGGACACCTTCTAAAAGAAGAGATGTGTCATTAGACTCCTTAACTTCCACACAGGCCCTTTCTCCCGAATCATCAGTTCATTTCAGGTTATAGTTAGGATGCTATGCATGTCCTCAGAAGGCTGTCTTCTTTATTAAAACATGGCATACTTCAATCAGGATTAAAGCAGATTTGGATCTCAGGCCTGGTAACAAACTTGAGACAATTAACTTGTAACAGGTGACTGGATTAAATAACATGGAGGTGTATTTTGGGACTCATCCGATTTAGTTCACTCTGCTTCTTTTTACATACACTGTGTGCTTTAGTGATAGATGCAAGGAAATGCATGTGAATAATTCTCTCTAAAGGAAATGTTTAGCTGCATATTTAGATGTCCCTCTGGGATCCAGAGGTGTGTATACTCCTGCATGTGACTTATCAATTTGGAGCAAAATAGCATCTGGGAAGATCACTCTTTCTCCTCTGTTACATCTGCCCTTTCAAAAAAATCTGGAAGAAATCCTACACAAGATGGAGGACAAAAGACAAAACGACAAGGCTTGGCTCAAGGCGAGGCCGTGAAGTGATCAGAGACTTTAGCCTGAAGAAGAGAAGGCTGAGAGGAGACATGATAGCCATGTATAAATATGTGAGGGGAAGTCATAGGGAGGAGGGAGCAAGCTTGTTTTCTGCTGCCCTGGGGACTAGGACGTGGAACAATGGCTTCAAACTACAAGAAAGGAGATTCCATCTGAACATTAGGAAGAACTTTCTGACTGTGAGAGCCGTTCAGCAGTGGAACTCTGCCCTGGAGTGTGGTGGAGGCTCCTTTGGAAGCTTTTAAACAGAGGCTGGGTGGCCATCTGTCGGGGGTTCTTTGAATGCAGTTTTCCTGCTTCTTGGCAAGGGGTTGGACTGGATGGCCCATGAGGTCTCTTCCAACTCTATGATTCTATGACTCACACACCGTCACACACACAAGGCCAGACAGTGGAAAGCCACCACTGTATTTTATATTTTGCCTTTGCTGCCACCAATTATTTGAGGTTTCTTTTGCTGCCAACTGTTTATTGTTTCATAGGCCACCTCTTCAACGGAACGTTTTAAAAGCCACACAAAGTCTTCAGTTGGAATAAAACAGGAATATGTTGTTTATTCTGAACAGTCTATATGCATAACGGTTTCAAATAACTTGTCAGGATTTTCTTTTTACAGAGGATGGTACTTATATCTTGAATTTCTAAAAGCAAAGCTCCAAACAGGATATTTTAAACCTTTTGAAGTTCCCTTCCTCCCACAGCACTCTAAACACTATAGAGGCCTATTAACTATTATCCTCAAAGAGGTATCTTTCATATAACAAACAGTTTCCAAACCTCTTCCTTCTCCCTTCAAAATTCCTAACTCTTCTTCCCACACCAAACTCCTAACCGAACTCAAAATGTCTGCCTCAGCTTTTTCTTTTTGCCTCTGCTTCCACCCATCTCCAGTTGGTAAGCGTTTCCCTCCAATTTCATCAATCAGACTGTACTTCTGGCTAAGGGACTGCCTGATCGCTCCACTCCCTTAGCTCTCCTTAGCTTTTGCAACCTGGGCCTGTTTTCTAACTTTACACCAACCCTTTAAGGTAGGCCAATCCATTCCAATGTGCAATTTCTTTTGTGGCATTTTTAATTAATCAAAATATTTAACTGAAGAAACACTGTAACTACATTTCAGTTCAAATCAGTCATAAAAAAAATTCTTCATGCTTGCAACTTTATCATCACTTTTATTAAAATAAAAGTCTTAATAATAATAATAACTTTATTCTTATATCACGCCTTCATCTCCCTGAAGGGACTCAGGGCGGCTTACATGGGAACCAAGTCCAATATAAACAAAGTTGCAATGTAACACAATTAAAAACATTAACAATCAACTATATTACAACTATAACTCCAATAAAATTGAAGACATCATAAAACATAACACACCAGAAGCGACTTGCAGTTTCTCAAGTCGCTCCTGACACGACAAAACAAAAACATAACCAAACAACAAACAACCAATGGCCGAGAAAAGTGGGCATGTGCAGATTTGAGACTAATAGGGCAGGACAGGACTAGTGCAACATAAACTGTAAGGCCAGGGGCTAGGAATAAAATGCTGGAAATTCTACCAAAATATATGCATTCTGTCCTATATTGTGGGATTTGAGGACAGTTAGGTTTTTTTCCCCCAGAGTACCATTATGCAAGGTCTGTATGGTATCCAAGTCTGCCATTGAACTGATGCATTTTACACTAGCTGGAGCTCTGGAGTCATCTTCAAGAGCAGCCCTATATAAAGTGTGCTGCAGTAAAAAAGTGTGCTGTACACCTGACTACCTCACTTCAACTTACACACAAATTCACATTAAGAACAAACCTACATAACCTATTTTGTCTGTAACTTGGGAACTGCCTGTACCTGATGGGAGAGCAGGATTCTTAGAACCAGGAGTTATGCTCCAGGTCCTTTGGGTGGTCCTGAGCTTGCACTGAGCCATTTATCAGTGGAATCTGAATCAGACAGCATAGAAACTAAACAGGAAGTATATGTTAAACCAGGTATGTATTCTAATATATGATGTTTTCTATGGGTTAGACCCAGAATAAAAATATCTTGGAACAACTTCTGTCTGCCTGTCTTCTGCAGCCTAATCTTTACGACTTTATGAAGACCATCTTCAAAGTATATCCTGTCTCATATTTATGTGGAAGCAAATCTCGCTGATATTATAGTGACTTGCCCCCAAATAAATATTTTAGTACAAACCTTTGCATGTTTGCTTGCAATTCAGTCTATCTTTGCAAAGTGCATAGGTCTGTGCTAAACAAATTTCAAAAAATAAATCTGGTTAATTAAAGCTTGCTCCCAGATATGCATGTATAGCATTGCTACCTTTAATAATATTCTTTAATGTGAAGATAAAGGTTTCCCCTTGACATTAAGTCTAGTCTTATTCTTTAGTTGACTGTTATTCAGTTGACGTTACTTTGCTTTTGTTGGGTAAACCCTTCAGAACCAGTTCTTTTTTATGGCTTTCTATAGACCAATTTGCTGAATGAAAAGTATCATTTTCAGAAATCTTTTTGACCATGTATTGGTTCAATTTAGCTGCTAATTTGTCTTTCTATATTCAAAGGGAAATATGTATAATGCCAATGATCTGAAAGTGACTGTATTACTTTCTCCAGAGTATCAGCACCGGAATGGCTGTAGCTGGAGTAGTTTTACTGGCAAAGAGCGTTAAACTGGTAAGTTGTGGATTGAGTGGAGCAATTTCTAAGATTATAAAACAGCTTTAACAGTTCAACACTAAGGGTATAACATCAATAAAATTCATTATAACTGTCCTCCTTTCATGTGTTGCAATCTATGAGGAATGGCTTCTGCTAGGTTTTATGTACAGTTGTAGCACAACTATATAAAGCTTAGGTCAGCTTCAGTATGCTACAAATAATAACAGTTTTGATTTCAATCCAATTTTGTTGCCACAGGCATTGCTTAATTTGAATATTTTCATCTAAGAATATTTATTTATTTATTTGCACCTCATCTTCATCCCAGAATGGGGCCCAAGGTGATTGTATATCTCCTTTGAATATCTTGTTTATAATGAAATGTCAAACTGAGAACATTCCCCAGAGTTATTTTGTTTTGTTTGTTGACAGAACCTTCAAGATGCAAGGGCTTTGCAAGGTTTTATGCCTCAGATTTGGGAAATAAATTAAGTCCTGGTCACCTGTCTTTGACTGGAGGCCAGATAATGTATGAGCAGCAGATACAAGAGCCAGCTTTATGAGAAACTCCATCTGTTTGTGCAGCCCCTGCTTGTTGTTGTTCTTGCTTCCTATGAGTCAGTTCCCGCTTTTGGTCACCCTTTGAATGAGAGATTGCCAAGAGCCCCAGTCATTAACAGCCCTGTTCAAGTATTGCAAATGTATGTGCTCCCATGAATCAGTCAATCTGTACTGTGGTCTTCCTATTTTTCTGTAGCCTTCCACTTTCTACAACATTCCCAGTGAGTCATACTGTCTCATTGTTTATTCATTCAGTCGCTTTCCCCTCTTCATGACCTCATGGACCAACCCACCGTTGCCACCCCCAGTTCCTTCAAGGTCAAGCTAGGATACCATCCATCCATCTTGTCCTTGATTGGCCCCTCTTCCTTTTTGCTTCCGTTTTCCCCAGCATCATGATCTTCTTCAAGCTTTCCTGTCTTCTCGTTATGTGGCCAAAGTACTTCATCTTTGGCTTTAATATCCTTCCTTCCAGTGAGCAGCCAGGCATTATTTTCTGGAGTATGGACTGGTTGGATCTTCTTGCGGTCCAAAGCACTGTCAGAATTTTCCTCCAACACCACAGTTCAAAAGCGTCAGCCTTCCTTATGGTCCAGCTCTCACATCCATAGGTTACTACAGAGAATACCATTGCTTTAACTATGCAGATCTTTGTTGCTAGTGTGATGTCTCTACTCTTCACTATTTTATTGAGATTGGGCATTGCTCTCCTCCCAAGAAGTAAACATCTTCTGATTTCCTGGCTGCAGTCTGCGTCTGCAGTAATCTTTACGCCTAGAAATACAAGGTCTGTCACTGCCTCCGTGTTTTCTCCCTCTATTTGCCAGTTATTATACTACTATACTGTCTCATAATATATCTAAAGTACAATAGCCCCTGTTGAGCCTTTTGACTTCTAGTAAGGTATAGACTTGATTTGCTATAGGGCCCATTGACTTGCCTTTTTGGAAGTTCATGGTACTTCGCACTTCTAATGTATTGAGGTTCTTCCTGACCTTTTCACAGCTTTCACAACTACTCATATACATTGTGAATGCAATGTCCTGGATGATTCCAATATATAAATCCTTCAGTTACCACCAACATCTACCTGTTCTTCCATAACCTGGTCATTCAGAGTTTTGACATCCATGTTCTCATAATTCAGGCACCACTTCCATTGGTTTTTTTTTTTTTGTGATATGGATTTTGACTAAAATATCTCCACTGAGGGGGAAGGCTGCAGGATAGAACATTGGTAGAGCCCTTTGACATGTTCACTATGTAAGGGTACACTTTTAATGTCTTTAAAATACATTAAAAAGCTAAAGCATGACAAATACCGTGTTTGTAAATGGATACTGTAAGGATACTGTAATGTGCCCTTGATGGTGGCAATCCAGGTTTGTTGGATTGCCACCAGTTCAATTGTACAGCGATAAAATAATGTTCATACCATGGCAAATATATATGAAATAAAGTCCTTCCTTAGAAATGTCTAAAGAAGAACTTTATTTGTGTTCTTAGCTCAGAGGTGGGCAAAATAGAGTACAGCTCCTAGCATTCCTCACCATTGAGTATGGTGGCAAGAATGAACAAGGATTACAGGTGAACTATAACTGTAAAATTGCAGCATTCCTATTTCGACCATTTCATCTCAAGAACTTGACGTAGGTAATAATGAATGTGGAATACAGAGCTAAGGGTGCTTAAGTTCCATAGGACCAGTTTGTACAGTGAGAATTTGCCATAGACTGAACCTTTCTAATGAATGATTAAAGGCTTTGCTACTCAGTCATGCATATATTACAGTGGTCTAGTCTCATGTTACCTTTCCTGTATTTATTCTTTTTTTGTCCTTTCTTTCTCTCTTTCTTTCATGAATAGACAACCAAATTCACAAATGTTTTGGAAATACCTTCAGAATTTATAGAGAAGAATGTTAAGCTTCGTGGACGGTTACACCAAATAACCGATCAAGGATTAGAAATTGAACATATTCCTATCACCCTTCCAATTATTTCATCTTTGCAGAAGAGATGTAAGTAGGATGAAATCTGTGAATATGCTCAAAGTGGTAAGGTAAAACATTCATCAACTTTTACTCAAGTATGGTTGAACAAGTGTCCTTAAAAAGGGATATGCAAAACAAATGGAACATGTGTGGATGTTTCTGAAGACTTTGAGCAGCTAATCTCTTTAAATACTTATTTGTTAGATTTATGTCTTTGTATTTTGCCCAGAAACTAATTGGCAACAAACTGAGTGACTGTAGTATAGGTGTAATATGCTCACTCCTGGATGTTCCGGTGACCAATTGGAATTTCCAAATTTGGTACAAAGGTAGCCCAATGCATTGCAGAATTCCAACCTTGAGATTGCCAGTTCATGCACTACCATCTTCAGGTCCCCTAAATCTAGAAAGGGGTGCAGCTGGCATATCAGCTGTAACTGGTAGTAAGCCCTTCTGACCGTTGCATCTCCCTGGGCACATATATTTGGAGAGGGGGATCCAGGAGTACTTCCAAGCTGCGGAAACAATCTTTCAGGGGGAGTGTAACCTAATCCAGAACTAGTCTTATGAACACCAGATATCCAAAGTTAGTTGTAGCCCTTTGCAATAGGCTTCTTCGGTATTAAAAAAGTAAAGGTAAAGGTTTCTCCTGACATTAAGTCTAGTCGAGTCTGACTCTGGGGGATGGTGCTCTTCTCCATTTCTAAGCCAAAGATCTGGCATTGTCCGTAGACAACTACAAGGTCATGCGACTAGCATAACTGCATGGAGCGCCGTTATCTTCCTGCAGAAAAAGCGGTACCTATTAATCTACTCACATTTTGTCATACACCAGAGCAGGAACACCTCTGACCTTAAACACCATGCCAGCTTGGTAAAATCAGCAAGCAGTTTATTAAAGAATATATGTAGACAAAGCAGAAAACAATAGCAAAAACAGTAAAGGTCCAATATATAAAATAGTCCAGAAACTTCAAGGAAAAACAAGATTGATGAATATATAAAAATCCATAAAACTATGCACTTGAATCCATGAAACAAGACGGCAGGAAAATATCTTAAGCTTGGAAAAAACTTGGTGCGTGAAATTAAGAGCACTTGAAAGCAAAACCTTGATAAAATAACAATGTTGACCTAACAGAGACAACTCTCCCATTAATCATTATAAAGCTTTTTCAGGTCTTGAAACTGAAAGGAAAGCATTTCTCTTGACCTTCCCACCAGAAAACGGTTTGTTATCTCTTTTTTGCTGCAGATGAACTGATCCTTTTGTTTCTGTTTACTGAAACTTTGCTCCCTGTCTATTCTTCTCTCATTAATTTCTGCACTTGACAAATCATCTTCAGACAGTTGTTCTGAGAAAAGCTGTGAAGGGCCTTTCTCAAGAATGTGGCCTTATGAAACGTTGAGCTTAACTCGGGCCCAAGTAAACCCTCAACCCCAATGCCAACAGGCCCAGGTCTACCATCAGGAACATCATTTCTATTCTCATCACGAACATCAACATGGACATCATTTTCAACATGAATATTAACCTTAACATCAGGTACAATCACAGGCTGAACAGGCTGACATACAACACATTTGCACATTGAAAAAAATGGGATTTGTTAGGCAGTCCTATGAATTTCCATAGTTTTCTTCAGCTGAGACTAAAATTAAATTGATTTCAAAGTACCATAGAACTCCAGTTATTGTACTCTCTGCTTAAATTGAATAAGCTAGTAATATTGTTCTCATATTGTTGTCAAAAAACAAAACGTTATTATGCATGTGTCCCTAGGGCATGCAGACGGATTGTTGCTGGTCAGGCTTGCTGGTGTAGAGCTGGCACCAGGTGGCACGGTCTGGTTAAAAGGCGAAATAAAACCCTCACAAATGATGTGGTTCCAACTTCTGGAAAGGAAGAACTCAGTGCTTCATTGCCTTGTGGTGGTCAAAAAGGTAAGTAGCAATGTAAGGGAAAATGGGAGGCCTAATTCTAAGCATGTTTATGCTGTAGGTCTCACTGGATTGCAGTCTTTTTCTTTACCACAGTTAAGACCCTCGTATCTGCTGGGGCTAGAGTTACCTGAAACTAAAATGCTATTAAATCATCTGACTTCCAGTCTCAGCAGACCATAGAATTGCATTGGGAGACTAAGAAATTCTTAGGGAGGTATCCTCTCTGGTAATTTGCTAGGCCCTGCAGTACGACTCTGTGGTAACTTCCAGGGAAAGCATACCATAGAATTGCCTGGAGGACCTAGCAAATTTCTCAAAAGGCCATTCCCCCGAGATGTGGATACAAGGATCTTGCTGTATAAACTGAATTCTTTGTGTGTGTGTCATGAGCGACTTGAGAAACTGCAAGTTGCTTCTGATGTGAGAGAATTGGCCATCTGTAAGGATGTTGCCCAGGAGACTCCCAGATGTTGGATGTTTTACCTTCCTTTGGGAGGCTTCTTTCATGTCCCTGCATGGAGAGCTGGAGCTGACAGAGAGAGCTCAATCCGCTCTCCCCAGATTCAAAGAGCTGACCTATTGGTTAGCACTCCTGCCGGCACAAGGATTTAACCCATTGCGCCACTGGTGGCTCCTGAATAATTTCAGCTTATTCACTGTGGATTGTACTTTCATTCTCATAAAAGGTTGAAGCAATGCTTTCAATGTTATTTCTAAACAGGGTAGATTTTCCAGTGTCTGCCTGAATGAAGAAATCTTGAGGCAAGGGCTTGGGAAGACAGTTAATATTGAAGGACTTTCACATGAGTCCCGGATATACTGGAAGCTTCATAAAAGGCTACTTCAAGCTGAACTGAAAGCTGTCAAGAAACATAAAGGAATCTGGAGAGAAGAAACATTCATTGAGAAACTTAGAGAGCATATTACCAATAATAAATATCTACAAAAGTTAAAACAACTTGCAACCTGGCTAAGAACCCGTCTCTGAAAGCACAAGGATTTTGAGGGAAAAACACCAGATGGAACAGGATGCAGCATTATATTCTTTCTGATGGAATAGTACTATAAAAGGTCTGGTCTTCTGTTGGTGGCTCCTGCCTTGGAAGAAAATGAGAACATCCGAGAAAATATTTCTTGAGGAGATGGGCGTATAACTAGAAATTCATATAAGTTGAATATACATTTCGTTATTTGAAAATGAAGAATGCATTCTAGGATACCCAGCAGAAAAGGAAGATGTAAGGCTTAATGAACAGAGGGCTTTCCCACACAGCCATATAGCCCAGAATATCAAGGCAGAAAAGCCCACAATATCTGCTTTGAACTGGATTATTTGAGTCCACACTGCCATATATTCCAGTTCAAAGCAGAACATGTGATATTTTATTCAGCTGTGTGGAAGGGGCCAGAGAGTGATGTGAAAGTGCTGGTAATATCGGGTTAGTGTGGATCTTGTTGTTGATTTACAGGAGTGAATATTATGTTGTTGATAGCAGAATACCTTTTTTTCCAGTGATGTATTTAGTGGATATTGTTCACAAAACCAAATAACAGGTAGAGAACCTAGTCAGTTTATGCAGACTTCCGTGTACATTATCCTCTAACAAGATGTAAAGTTCATATTGCCATCAGCTGCTGAACTTACCACAGGTTTTCCTGGTTCAGTTGAATGCATGCCAGCAACGCAAACACAGCGGCCTTTTCATAATCAGATGATATTTACTTCCTAAAACCCAACCTACTATTAGCTAAGATCATCATGAAGATGTTATGAGCTCTAAACTGTCCTTTCTGTGGACACTACACGTTCCTGTCATTATATATATCAAAGCAAAGTAGTTGCAGATCTTGGTAACTTGAGCTGCATATTATACACCTGTAGTAATCTAGAAGAGGTAGAAATGATCTCACTTCCTGACCTGGCAGACCATAGAATTGCACTGGGATACTTAGAAATTCTTAGGGAGGTATCCTCTCTGGGAATTTGCTAGGTCCTGCAGTGCAACTCTGTGGTAACTTCCAGCCCAAATACAGTCTCATGTTTAACATGAGTTTACACTGAAGTTTATTTTGTTTCTAATGCAGCCAAGTAGATACTTTTCTTGTAAACTTTTTGTGAGTTAGGGCATTATGGGTGATAGCCATTGAACTATAGGTAAACAACACACAGTTTTACACAAACATTGTGTCATCCCTTTGTTGTCCAGGTCCAACCTGATAGCTATAGAAGCATTCACCCACTTTGTTGCTACTGGTATGAATGTGGCTTGGATTTTACAAATTCAAGCCTTGTTGATTCTATAGGGACAAAATTCACAGACCAGTGTACTTATGCATGATGTTTATAGACCACTTTCTGGTTGCAGTCATAAATCCACTTACTTAGAAATTTTGAGCTTGCATTCAAGGCAGTGTTCATTGGACCAAGATCAAGTCTGTTGCTGCGTAACCATAACCGTTGTTGTGTACTCCTCCTTCCAAGATTAATTGACCTGATCGTAAGATGAGAGCGCATGACTGTATTTACTTTGGAGGAACATTATGTATTACTGATTGTTCTAAGCCATTTATTTAAATGCTTAACCAATCTGATGATGAGACTACTATTTTAACAGTCTTGCCTCGACTCTAGAAAAAATATGTGTATGACACAGAAAAATAAATGATTCAATATGACTTTTCCTGTTCTCTTTGCAAACCGGTTAAGTATTAAAATATTAATCTGTTTAATTACTAGCAGTAATTCAGATGCTTTAACAATAAAGTGATTAACTATAAACCAGGCTTGTAAATTTGTTAATTTCTTGTGTCACTTAGCCTTGTAACAGGATAACAGTTGAGAGCATATGGTACTTATGCGTGCCAGGCTTCCATTGCTGACAGTGGCATTGCAGATGGACCCCTGCAACACACAAGTGGGCGATTGTCAGCAGTGGGAGAACCCTCCTTGTGAGCCTGCCTGCCTGCCTGTCAAAATGGTGGTTTATGTCTTGTCAAGGGGATAAATGAAGTGCTGTTGCCTCATGTTATCTTCTTCTGTTACTGTTGTTAATAACTAAAAACGATTAATGCTGTATGCATGAGTGTAGTGACAGAGTAGAGGAGAAAAGGGCAAAGCGCTGAGCTGGATCCTTTGTTTGCTAAAAGGCATTAAGCTCACAGGAGGGGGCTGGGTGAAGGGAGCTGTTGACAGCGCAGAACAGTTGCAATGCTCTCTTTTGCCAAGTCTTGGCTGCACCATAATGCCTGCTTGGTTTAAAATATCAGAAAAATAAAAGCGAAGAAAAAATGGTTAGTATCTTGACAGCTCCCACATCTTTACCTCATAGCAAAGCCAGGCCTGGTTTTATACAGATTATTGGATGTGTTTGTATATGTTATTCTTCACTTGAATTCCAAAGTCCCGAATTCTCCAAAATCCAAAACAGTCTAAATCGGTGGCTGTGATGGCTCAGTGTACACACAATTTAGACACATCTATACCGACCCCTTAAAGCAGTTAGAAGGTGTATATGACACAAACCTCAAATTTATTTTTTATTTATTTACAACATTTATATTCCGCCTTTCTCACCCTGAAGGGTGGATCACAGAACACATCCATGGCAAACATTCAATGCCGTTAAACAGACAGGACAGATAACAGATAAAGGTATATGTCAGCATTTTCCCCCAATTTCGGCATCCTGGAGGTTGTGCTCGATTCTGACCATGAGGGGTGCTGTCTCTCCATCCTTTATGACAGTGGTTCTCAACCTGGGGTCCCCAGATGTTTTTGGCCTACAACTCCCAGAAATCTCAGCTGGTATATCAGCTATTAGGATTTCTGGAAGTTGTAGGCCAAAAACATCTGGGGATCCCAGGTTGAGAACCACTGCTCTATGACAAAGAACCCTTGATCACAGATTTCCTCCTTTCTTTGATTGCCAGTATTTTCTAGTACTTCCTTTTTATGGTGCCATAAAATACTTCCCCACTTAAGCAGTGCTTAATTTCTCTACTCACAGCTCACACCTGTTTTCAGACTGCTTACATGAACAATGAGCTGGGCTGAAGGTCGGGTGTTCACCCCAACCCTGGCTTCGAGCTGCCAACCTTTCAATTGGTGTGATCTATTGTTGCTGGTGATTAACCAGCTGTGCTAATGCCCGGCCCAGGCATGCACCAGCTGTGCTAAAGCCTGGCTCAGACATACACAACAATGTACCTTAAGGACTTTAAGCTGAAAGTAGAGCCTGTAATGTGCATCAGCATGCCTAAGTGTAAACAACATCTCAAAGCAAAACCAATTCAGTTATGGATGCTCCAGCAATCCGCACATGTGCATTATGACAGGGAAAGTGGGGGAGGGGGGGGAAGGGGTGGAGAAACAATTCCTCCATCGCTGTGAAGCCATGGAACCAGTTTGATGTCAGCTTCTGTGGTACATTATAAGGATCAGCCAGACTTCTGACTGTTCACATGTGAAATCATTCTGCTGGTTTCACACTGACCTAAGTGGTAAATATAGACATGTCCTTTGTTTCATGCACATAATTGCTGAAAATATTGTATATAAAATTATTTTCAGCCCACATGTGTACAGTGTCCATCTCTAAGATATTTCATTGTGTATATGCAAGTCTTCTATAATTTGCAAAAGTCCAAGATACTTCTGGTCCCAAGCATTTCGGAGAGGGCATTCTCAGCCTGTAAAATGAATGCCCACATGTGCAGTATTTGTTTGTTGGATTCTTGTATCTCCGGATAATCAATATGTCTGTTTGAAACCTTGCCTTCCCTATTGAAACTGTAATGTATAAGTCTTCCCTTTTTTCCTTGTAAATGGCTGTTGGGGAGCAAGTTAGGAGTGGACTCTCAAATAGATCAATTCGTAAAGTACATATATCACTTTTGTTTCAGAGAAATACTCCTGGTCAGTGGGTGGGTTAAGGCTTTCCTTTCCACTGTCCCCTGCCCATATTTTAGTAGGCAGTCAGAACTGGCTGTGTTTTCTGGAGGATTATCACACAGTGGTTTTTATTATGATTATTATTTATGTCAGAAATATGCTGTTTTTCCTTTTTTCATGCTTGTATTAAAGTCAAGTTCCGCTTTGTAATTACACTAATGCATTTCATTTCAGGCAAATGCATCTTTAAGGATTTCATTCGGTTAGCATATTATCTGTAGGAGGAATCTGGGGGAGGGGAAACGCCTTGCAGTAATGTTCTGTTTTCCTTAAATTTAAATGAAAATAGAAGACATCACTAGAGATTTGATTTGAATATTTAGAGAAAACTTTTGAGGGGGAGTTTTAAATATCATAACTTGCTTACACATCAAAACTATATATTATAAGGAAAACAGACTCAGTTGCTCCAATCATTCCACTGCAATTTCTGCTTTTTCCCCTTTTACAAATATTATTTCATTTTTTTAAAAAAAATCCTTTTGAAAAAAACTTTATGGAAGACTACTCAGTTCTCCAGAAATATTCTTTGCCAGGGAAGTGGTATCCATCGCAATTCCTTTTTTCTCAACCTTCATTTCTAGCTTCATTACTTATTTACAGTGGATATATTGAGCTTTGGCAAGTTCCAAATATATCATCATTATTATTATCATCGTTGTTATTATTATTTAAAAGTTTCATAAATCAAAGAAAATATGACATTATCGGAGTCTCTGTGCATGAAGCAGGGCATTGTGGACAACCATACAGATTAAGCTTTTCCTTGATTTGAGTCTACTGGGAGGAGGCTGATAGCCATGAAGTGGGTGGCTTTCACAGTGTTCAACCTTATTTCTCTCACAGTTAGCAGTAGCTTACCGTCACACATTGGGGGAGCAATGCCAGCTAGCTTATAGAGTCTATCAACAGATGTGGGTTTGAGACACCCTGTGATTATTCTACATGTTTTGTTCAGTGCTATATTCACCTGCTTCATGTGGACAGACTTGTGCCAAACAGGGCAGGATACACAGCAGTTGAGTAAGACAAGACCAGGGCTGATGTTCTTATTAATTTTGGGTCTCTACCCCTTGCACTATCAGTAATTTTACGCAGGATGTTATTGCATGCAGCTGCTTCATGCTTGGTGTTCATACAGTGTTTCCTAAATGTTAGTGTTCGATCAAAGTTGAAATTTAGGATGGGAACAGTGAGCTCTTGGCCTTTCCAGGTAACTTTCAATTTCCTGTTGGCTTCATGGTTATGTAGGTGGAAAGCACACACTTGTACTAAACAGGTAAGGACCTACTCAGTGGCAGCACTGTGGAAATTCCATGTGAGCCACTCAAGTTTTTAAAATGTATTAAATGAAATAAAACAGCCAACGCTTGGTATCTGCAGGGGTTCAGTTACATGATGTCTCATGTATATCAAAATCCATGGATGCTTTACGTTCCATTGTATACAAGATTACGTTCCAATGGATTACGTTCCATTGTATACAAGAGCATAATAGCATCCTCACAACCTCTGAGATACAGGCAAAAGGTCAGGAGATAATGCCTCTAGAACATGGCCATATAGCCTGAAAAAAACTACAACAACCCAGTGATTCCAGCCGTGAAAGTCTTCGACAATACAATGGCATAATAAATTGGTGTCTCTTATATAAAATGGCAAAATCAAGTTTTGCTTTTTGGAGTAAAAGATAGTTCCAAGCTTTGGATGGTTGAACCTGCAGATATGGAGGGAGGGCTGTATATACAGTACAAGGAAATCAGAGAGAATGATTGCAGGGAAGGAAATCCTATGCACATGTTTCTGTGCCCCTGCCATATAGTAGCTGCCTATATAGTGTTGTAAGGATGACCCTTATAATAAGGTACACCTGGCAGCCCTAATTGCTCTGATTCACCTGTGAAATAATTCATCTTTTATAGCTATTGATGTACACCAGATGCAACAACTAATTGATTTTTGTGCTTGGCAAGCAAAAGGCAGAATACATTTTAAATTTAGACCTTTGTGTTTTCCTCTATCATAAGGACTAGAACCAAGAGTATAGTCCTTATGATAGAAGAGAATGGCTATACTTTCATTCGGCTTATGATTAAGGAAATCCATGCAGAATGGGGATTATTTATTTGTTTATTTTGGACATTTGTATCCCATCCTATCTCGACCTCCGCAGAAGGACTCAGGGCGGCTAAGAACCAGCACACCATGGTGCCCACAACCAAAAGCATAAATATACAATTTAAATTAAAACAGTATAAAAACAATATAAAAACATCCAAACAGTCAAACAGTCATCAATTTAAGAAGGCTCTAGCACTGAAGGTTCCAGCAATGAATTTCAGTTGAGTAAAGAGTAGCTAGTGGTATTCTACCAACAGGAAAGAAAGAAGCGAGGCAGGGCCTTAAAAATAGATGCCCACAGATATTGTTATATAATCTTCCTGCTTTTTTCCAATGTGTGTGTTGTGTTTAGGGACTCTGTTTATTTTAACAATTCACTTTGAACACTATTTCAAATGCAGTGGCTTCTTCTTATCTTGACAAGCTGTGATGTAAATGGTGAGAACAAGGGATTTTTTTTCCTAAACAGACAATTCTGCCTTAAGCAGGAGGTTAGGTTATATGATCTGCACCCCCCCCCCCCTTTCAGATCCACCTTTCTATGAAAAGCCAGAAGAAAACCCACAATTTAATTAATCTAACCCTCCAAACCATTCTTCAAACAGCAGTCTCATTGCTCAATTCTGTTTTAACCATGTATTTAAAGTACAGTGCCTTTAGATTAGGAGTGAAATTAAATCTTGATCGCATGTATAACCTATTATTACTCC